GGGCTGATGATACGGTGGGGACGGTCATTGCAGTAGTAGATGAGCTTGTCCCAAGGTCGGTTATCGCGAGCTGCTTGAGCCTTCAGCTCATTGACAATAGTACTCATCCCGCTAGCAGGCATCCCCTGAACGGTCTGAGTGTTGCCGTTCGTGTTGGTCAGTGAGATGCTGAGAGGCAGACAGAACATGTCCACCCAGGTGATGTTTGCAAAGAGCTGGTGTTCGTTGTAGGTGAATTCGACGAAGTCCCACACGGTATTAAAGTTTGGATCCGTCTGGTTCGTGATGGAAGGCTCAACTACTGCAGGCCCAGGGTTGATTCTGAATATGAGAGGAGCTCCAACTGAGAACCAGATGCGGCCGCCGCACATACGAGGAATCTCAGCTTGAACGGTGTTTCCGGGTGCGCCAAGCTTTATGCCGACATCCTTCATTACAGGCGAAAGGATCTCGCAAGGTGACTCCGGGAAGTAGAGCGATTTTGCGTCCGACTGAATAAAAACTGGCGCATTGTCACAATCGAGGGCTCGGCCAGTGATGTAGGCATACACGTTCGAGCTGGAAGTACGGTTCTTCAAGGCCACCGTGAGTCTCGGTGCTTGTATCGGAACTTGGGGCTGCTCTCCGTATCGGGCTATACGGGCAAACTTGGCCTGGTGATAATCGGAGGTCTCGGTCTTCTCGCTGGGCCGTCCACTAAACTTCACAGGAAGCTTTTCGTTGAGTGAATCCTTGATACGATGATAAAAGGACCCCATCACAGTTTCTGAGGCTAGTCAGCGTGAGCAGAAAAGTGGTATATGGTGTGCCGAAAGCGGTGTCACAGTCTTCGCAGTCGATAGGAATATTGATTTCTCGCGACTGAAGAGATCTGAGGTTCGGTGTCCCAATATACCCGCAGAGCCGACTACATGGAGACTTCAATGACCGCAGGTGCAAGGTAGCCCTTGATGCTTGGAAAAGCAAATGCTGCTATCTCTTCTCCACATCGCAGTTACGCCTGGTGTAGGACACGGGTGCAGCGCATGCCTTACCAATGTACAATTGCGGTTCAAGGCAAGCTTGAAAGAAAAGGATTAGAATTAGTCGTGTTACGGATGAGCAATAAAAGGTAATGTAGGGCGCAGGTTCGTGAAGACGTGGATGTGGATGAAGTTGGAGGAGCAGACAGATGACGAAGGTCAAGATGTAGCTTGGTGTGCTAGCCTCTTTAGGTATCGGCGTGATGAACCTTCCGCCCCAAACCTCCACGGCTCTGTCTTTCGACACACCATCAACACACCACCTGCCCGCTTTTTCGAGGAAGGATTTCTACATGGACAATACTTTCCGCACGCGAGAGCTCTCCAATAGCGGTAGAAGGAAGGAGTAAACAATGCAACATTGACAGTCTACTTTCCTGGACTAACCTCATTATTACCAGGAGCACTTAGGGAACTACCACACACGCAGGTGCCATGGACATGCGCAGCACTCTTGTTGGTTCTGGGCTCTACACGTCTGCCCAAGTTGGACACTCCAACACCATTTCTGTCGCTTTACTCCATCAGCATTTTATCACACTACATACCACCTCCATTGGCAACGCTCGGATCACATTCTGAAACACAGCATTAACAGTCCTTCTCAGCCCAGACCATGTCAGTTCTGGAAATGTCAGGTATGCAATTATATGTTCGGCTGCTTCTTGGTAAGAGCTCTATGGCCGTTTTAGCCCTCTCTCTGTCTCCACTGCTAAATCATTGGGGAATTGACAAGTCGGCAGACGAAGCCATCGGGCACGATGAGGAAGAATCAGTCGGGGATGAAACGAACTTGACCCGGGACCAAGCTATGACATTGCTCCATCCCATAGGCGCGTACGACTTCCCAAAAACCATGTCAGCGGCGGGTGTGGAAGCGCTCAAGAAAGCCGTCGCGACTGTCCTGGCACGGGAGAAAGTCGGCAGTGCGGACATGTCCGAATTGTACTTCTGTCTTAATCACTGCATGCTCGAAGCAACGACAAAGTATAAACGATGGACGACATGGTACTATCGGTTTGGCATGTACGGCGGAGAAATATGCCCACAAGTGGGACCTTTCGACCGCGCATTTCTACATGAAGCCGTGGGACCTGAGCCACGACTGGCTGATCGACCTTTATTCCAGCCTTGGGCAGAGCTGGTCGCGTACATCCGCCTGGTACACAACGTTCCCAAGATGCCACCAGAGTTTGCGAACGCGGACCGAGCAAACCGCCACCTCATCCAGAAAAGCATGCACTTCGTACAACAAGTCGATTGGTCACTCGGGCAGATTGGAATGAGCATATGGGGTGCCATAAAGTTCGAAGAGAAGGCGTTGTACCGCGAGCGTATGAGGAATCCGTTCTTGACCCCAGAAATGGAGGAGGTGATGCGCCGAGAAGCCTTATGGAGTTGGCTGCAGCTTCTACCTGAGACCGGCCGTATACTCAAGAGAGGGAAGACTCCTTCGCAGATTCTCGACCACGCATACAGTGGCTATATCGACCCGAGTCCGGACTGGGGCACCCAACTGCCGTTCGAGTGGCAATGCCCCACGTCTTGAGCCGCATTCACAAGTTGAGCGACCGCATCAGCGCCTCACTTGAGGTCGACGCGCTTGTTTCGAGCGTGAAAGGGCGAGTGTGGTGCCTCGATGGGCTGCTTTGATATTTCAAACCTAGACTCAAAAGTTGTTCTAGGTTTTTCCTCATCTCAGAAGTCTTGCTCGTCTTTCGAATTTCTCCGTTTTCTTCCTCTTGATTCCACACCTTCTTGACAGAACCCTCCGCTTCATGACCTATTGTCGTCCGTTCGAAGATATCGTTTCCCAGCTTGCGACTTTCCCCTTTCCTGTGACCTTCTGGCGGCAACTCACTCTGTCCCAGGAGATCTGTAGCAAACGACAACCTACGGTTTCTCGCGCCGCCACATGACCACATGAAAACACTGCACAGGGCCACGCGGATTCCTCTCATCCATTGACCATCCAGTCCCTCCCTTCCACACATGCCCTCCACGTTCACCCTCCCATCCTATCGCACCCAAATCCCATTCCCCAACCCCCCAACATGCTCCCCTCCCGACCCCCCCGCAGTCTCCGCGAAGCCTGGCTCCAATCCCACTCCGCCCACATCGCGCGCCTACGCCGCCACCTCACCACCCACGAAGCCACCGCCCTTACCATCCTCTCCACCCTCGACGCCGCCGACCAAACCTACCGCGAAGCCGGCTTTTCATACCACTTGCTCCCCCCAGCCTGTCGCAGTCAATCCCCCACGGTCCCAGAAGCAACAACCAGCCGCCTCAAACACATATACGCGGACCAGGCGCCCGTGACACGCAAACAACAGGCTTTTTTCTTCCAATGGTTCGACGTCCTGACCGGTGCCCAGAACACAATAACGTTGTGTAAAAATAGTCGCGAGAGTAATAATAGAGCCACGCTCCAACACCACTGCGACCAAGCTGCGGATATCCTGCACCGCGCCCAACTCAGGCTTGCGTCGGTTCAACAAGCTGTGATGGAGCTCGACGCCATGGTTCGGGAGATGAAGGAAGCGTACAAGACGTCGCACCCCGCCGACGATGATGCCACGGAGAATGCCACGGAGGAGGATGTTAGAAACCGAGATTCGGAACAAGGGAGATTGTTGAGATTGTGGATGCGGGGGTTTATTGTACCGAAGGATATCAGGAGTTGGGGTGGTGATGGGGAATTTTTGTTGGATTATTTGGTAAGAGTTTGGAGGGAGGAGGGGGTTGGGTTGGGGGAGGAGGGGCCGCTGGGGGCGAGGTTGAGGGCGTATTGGGGGAGTAGGGTGGAGATGTGATGGTGAGAGATGGGTGGGTGATATGGATGAGGCTGGAATGGAGGGTTCTGGCTGTGGGGTGTTGACGAGGTACTTATGAGATGGGGAGTTTGAAAGATGATGTGGAACTGTAGTAGAAAAGTACGATGTCGAGATAAGTTTATTTGATCTTTGATGGAGTAGAGAGATGTAGTAGGTTCGTCACCAAGGGCAATATTCGTGAAATCACATATCATGTCTAACATATCGGAAGAAAACTATTCATTTCAGTGAAGTAACAAAGTCCCAATCTGTGCTAACTATGCTAACCAGCTGACTCCACCCGTCTACGTGATGCACTTTCCGGAGCGTTAACCGCCTATCCCCGTCCAGGAACATCCTCCGCTCAACCAGACCCCCGCTCACGATCCCACGCCTGCCCGTACCCATGCCACGTCGCACAGCGATCACACTTGCAGCCCGCCTCGTGCTTTTCCCACTCCTTGTACATCTGCTTCCGGCGCTCCTTCTCCTCGGCCCACGGGTCGGGCTTGCCGAGCGCTTTGTCGACGGCTGCGTGCACTTTGTCTTTGAGCTTGTCGAGGGTGCCGGAGCCGAGGGTTATAGTCATGTTGAGGGAGGTGGTGTTGTGTGGTGTGGGGTGGTGGGTTGGGTTAGTGTGGTGTGGGAAGGATGGATGTAGTTGGGTGTGGTTTTGATAAAAACTTTCGCAAGGTAGGTGCAGTTGTGATGGGATTTGTTGGTGGTTGGTGGGAGGGAGGATGGTGGTTTGCAAAGAACATTTGAGAGGTGGTATATATACGTTAGAAGAGGGTAGGTCTAGTCACATTTGTTGGGTGGAATGTTCTTTGTCACCATGCGAAAGTGTGTTATGTTTACAGCGCATAGTGTTCACACACAACGTTCGACCTTACAACGTCCTTGTCATCTGACATACTTCACAATGCACCGGGGGCTTTTACAAACGCTTCATGGACAGACTAAAAGATTGAGAGTCTGTTCTTATCAGTTTGAGCCGGCTTGCCTTTTTCAAAACGCAAGAGCCAAACACTTTCAAAAAGCGAGAGCCAAACACACCCACTGAGCCACCTTCAATAGCCTTGAACTGCTCTGCCCCCCTCCCTCCCTCCGCATCACAACTATTAAAGCAAAAAAAAGAGGGAAAAGCAAAAACATGAAGCCAAGGTCGTGCCCGGGTTCGAACTGGGGTTGCCGGAATGTTCGATTCAAACAATGATCAAAATCCGGAGTGATAACCACTACACTACACAACCAAGGGAATGAAGAAGACGTCACAAGAATCACGATGCATCGTCTATGAGCCCCCCATTTCGCGCCAAGGTTACTAGAGCCTTCGCGCTCCTCAGCAATTGCAAAATTTCCATTCGCTAACCTACACCCCATGCATGATTTCCACCGAATCTCTTCGTTCAAACGCCTAGAAATATATACCCTTTGCCCCTCCGCCTTTACCCTCAGATTCTACGATCACTGACCATAATCACCGACCCCTCTGTACACACCCCCATTCATACTATACACTTGTTAGCTCAACTCATCCCATATCCCATACCCCCCCCCCAATCCCCCCTTCACCCTTCCCTTCCATTTCTTCAATCTCAAAAAAAGAAAGAAAAACTCACCACACACCCCTCCTCATCCCCCGTATACACACACCGCCCCGTCGGCAGCACCGCCGTAATCCTCGTCTCATTACGCCCCTCTCTCCCCGGCGTCTCATGCGACAACAGCTTCAACAGCGTGAGGGCCCAAGAGCCGGTGCGATCGGGAGCGAGTTGGAAGATCTGATATCTGGCGTTAGCCTTTAATGCCTTTCGAAACAGAAGTGCGGTTTGGGAGCGGAGCGAAGAGAACGGGATCTGAGCAGGGAGAAAGAAGAGCGGAGAGGGAAAAAAGAGCGAAGAAAAACAAAACTTACCTTAACACACCCCCTAACCCCCACAAACACTAACTCCCTTGCACACCACTCATTCCCCCCCTTATGCACCGCCAACGCACTAATCTCCTCCTCCGTCTCCCCAATCTCCTGACACACCAACACGCCCCCATTCAACCCCGTCACCACGACCCTCGACCCGCAAGCAAGCACCACATGTCCCGTCGAGCTATTGATCCTCGCGTGCTGTACAACTCCACATTGCTCGGGAACCTCCAACTCGCGCACAAACTCCAACCGATTCAAATCCCATAACAACACCCTTCCCCCGGCATCAGCCGTCAACAACGTCGCCAACGCCGCACTCGCCGCAAGCGTGATAACCGGTTTCCGGTGTCCATAAAGCATGGATTTATTAACCACCTCGACCACATTCGCACTCCGCTCGTTGCGCGACACGTGCCATACGCCGACTGTACAATCCGCGCCCGCCGTAATCAGTGTATTCCCATTCGCAAAGAGGCACGTCGTCAGTTGCCCGACGTGAAGATGCTCAAACAACCCGATCCTGCGCTTACTCCCCGCGTCGTAGAACCGAATACTACCGTCCGCGAACCCCCATTCCATGTATTTGTCGAACGTGGGTGGGATGTTGAGGCGGAAGGGGCCGGTGCAGAGGAGTTTGTCTTGTTTGGTCAGGAACGCTAATGACGTGATCGGGTCGTGTGCTTCGAGGAGCGTGCCGGGTATGCGTGTCAGTGATTCCACCGCTGTGTCCAAGCGTGTGCTATTCCCAGGTAGTTGCTTTACGTCTTTCTGCGGATGCGGTCGTTGAAACACCTGATAAGGTGTTTGTCCGAAGTTATGGATGACCTGTATGTTCTCTTCCCAGCGCTGGTCGTCGATGACGTCCAGGTCGACGGCGCCTTGGTAGCTCTGATGTCTGTACACGTTTGCGGCTTCGATGGCGGCTTCGCCTCGTTGCTGGTATCCGAAGATGAGGTCGATCCATTTATGCAGGTTCTGGCTGACGTATGGGCTTTCGAGAGCTTCGCGCTGCTTTGCGATGAAGATGGCTGGGTCGCCGTGGGCCCAGGGAGGTAGCTCGACATCGTCTACGCTCTGGCCGTTTGCGCGTTGTCCGAAGTTGTAGGAATTGACGTTTGTGAGGAAGTCGGGGAGGTAGAAGAATTCGGGTGTCAGCTCGCGTACGTCGGCCATGTTGATGCGCGATGCTGATTCCCAGGCGTTTGCAATGGAGTAAAACATGCGGTCCGGATGGTCAAATTTTCCGTCGTGGATGAGCGTCGACGCAGCGCAGAACGGTTGAAGCCGGGTAAGGTATGCGGCGACGGTGGTTGCAGACGAGTAATGCGTGCCATAATGGAACGCGGGCTCTTCGCTTATCTCCAGCAGCTGCTGATACCTCTCGTGCGTCTTCTGCTCGCGCTCTAGATCTTGGCAGCCTATCGGCCTGCTCAGATCGCGGAAGGTCTTGGGGTCGGCAAGATCCAGGTCCTCGCTCGTGTAGTCGGCGATGACCCAGGGGAAGACAGGGTACTGTGTTAGGTCGTTGAAGGAGCGCCCTGCGAGCGTGTTGACCATCATCAGATAGTGGAAGTTGGACAACTCCCCTTTGAGCCATTTCTTCGTCGCAGGTTGAAGGTTGTTGTTGCCAAATGCGGACGCGAAACGAGAGCCTAATGTCTGTGGCGCCTCTTCGGGGTTTCTGAGCGAGTCCAGTCGCCAGGCGATTTCTGAGTTTGCGAGCAGATCTGGCTTCGCGACGTACTGTGCGCGCGCAATAAGCTTGGAGTAGACATCGTTGCGGACGCTGGAATTGATGACCGTGAGCAAGTAGCTGCGCCCGTCCTCGAAGAAGATCTCCATGGCCACATCGCGATGGAGGAATCGACGCTTCGAGACGCTGATGACGCTGTTCCATTTCCAGTTGCGAGTGGCTTCGCCCTCCTCGCGGGAGGCAAGTCGGCGGCTGGAGGCTGTCTTGCTTCCTGCAATGACCTGGACACAGGGGTCGCGCTCATCGGATGGAGCCTGCCATACGCGTACAATCTCGCCGTCGGACCTTTGGAAGAAGTCGTCAAGCAGGTACAGGCAGTCTTTGCCAACGATGAGCAGCCCTTCAATTGCCTCCAGGCCGACTACTCGAGAGACGTTGCAGACGTATTGCACTTCGTCGTTTCGGTTCAGACTGCGCATCACTTTTCTGTTCTTGTCTTCGAACCCCCCTTCATCTTCGTGAATGGGGTCCACAAGCTCAAAATCATCGTCCGCTTCAGAACCCGACCCCTCGTCCTTGCCGGCGACATCTGTCGAAATGGAAGACGACGATCGGGTTCGGCTTTGGACAGGGGTGGCAACGGAGTGCTGCGAGGTTCGTGAAGGGGGAGTGGAGTCAAGCTTCACCTTGTTCGAGTCGGTGTCTCTCCGTCTAGGAACGTATTTGCGTTCACGCGCATGATCGATAATGGTACGCATCCGCCTGCGATCACGCCCCTCGGTCTCGTCGAGCCTCCATTGTGGAGGAGGACTGCTTTCGAAAAGAGCGCAGGGACCCCTCATTTGTTTGTCCAGCCGGGCCATGACGCCTGTCAAGAAGGTGATGTTCTCTTGCTGATCTTGCAGAACACGCTGGTGCTTGATCCGCTCGGACGCGTGGACGTTGGAGCGGAAGTGCTTAGTGGTATGTTCGTGGTTGAGCCAGACTCGCTCTGCGAGAACATCTTCGTTTTGCCATTGGCGTAGTTTTTCCCGGCGCTTTGCAACACGCCGTTGAGCACTCTCCTCTGTCTTCTTGTTCTGCTCCTGTGTGAATTCGTCCCAGTGTCGCTGTAAGCTGCAGTAGACCAACGCATCCAAATCCGCTTTGTGGCCTTGGAGCCACTGCAAGAATGTCTCATTCTCCATCTCCGTAATCTTATGGAAATCTTCTAGCAACCCGTCATTGCCCTGCATGACTTGATCCAGAATCTGGGACACGTCATCTGGCTTTTGGACCACCAACAATCGCCAGAACTCAACGGCAGCAGAACGAACGGGTTCATACTTGGAGGAGAGCATGGTGTAGAGAAGGTAGCAGATCAACCTCATGAAAAGGCCCTCAGCATTCCCGGAAGAGAAGATCAGCCCCTGCCAGTACGTCAACTTCTGTATCGCCTGGGCAACGGAGAATCCATCGGTCGCATCATCTGACTCCGCGAGGCGCAAGAGCACGACTCGGAAGAAGGTGGTGCGTATCGTGCTGACGGCCTGTGTACAAAGCCGGACAGACTTCATTAGGGAGACCTCAGGACGTTCCAGGTACTCCAATACAAAGCCCGCAAAGTCGAGCAATGGGTCAGCGCCTTCTAAGAACCATCCCTCGAAGACGGCCTCCGATATATGAGACACAAAGCGTGCCAGGTTCGTCAAGACGCGGGGTTCGTGAAGCAGCTTCTTGTCCAGTTGCAGGGAATTGGTGATTGAAGACATCGTTTGTCGGAGTATGTACGATTCAAAGTAGGCCTGGTGTTCCTGAAAGCCCGGCGGAGTCTTGAGAAATATGCCCAGGCCCGGGAAGTCCTTGCGGTTGAAGATCTGGTCCTGAAATACGTCCACCACCACCTCCAGGGCTGCTTCGACAATGCCACTGCTAACCTTCGCCGCGGCAGAGGCACTCGGAGTCCTAACTTCCAGGATTGGCGGTGGCACTTCCACCTTATTCTTAGTTTCCGTGGAGACCAACACGAATGAGGATGCTCTTCGAAAGGGAGCTATACGATGTGGTTGGGGTGAGGGCGGAACACTGACATTGGTGGTGCGCACGATTGGCGCCTGCAGCCCGGCAGCCTTCGACAGAGGCTTGATGAAGACATCTTGCCCCTCGAATGTCAAAGACCCCCGGGAGAGCAGCTCTGTCTCCGCGCTGACGCTGTCTGACGTTACTACAACAGGATAGAGGATAAAGAGTAGCTGTTGAACATAGTTTGAGCCCACTGCGAAGTCCCTGAAGACCTCGCAACGAGAATGCAGCTCATGGAGAAACTGAATCGCGGACAGCAAGACCGACGCGAAGTCATTGAGGCGATCCGACCGTGAGGACGCAGGATCTGGAGGGTCAGCAGTGCACTCGACTACGCGTCTGAAACATACCGAGTGGAGGTTGATTGTTAGTCAAGGACATTGTCCTGCGCCTTCCCCGCTTCGGCATCGCTGTGCCGTTCTCACTACTTTGCGCTTCCTTAGGTATGTGCGCCTGGTCTCGCACAATTGTACGTAGGCCCATTTCCATCATGGCCACGATGACGGGGAAGATTCCAGGGTTCACAATGCGCAATCGGGACTGGGGCGAATGTGTGATAAAGATGTCGACGAGGT